CTATCTTCTGGTGCAATCTCGCAATTTTCTTTTGTATGCATCACTACGTTGGCATCGGTGTCCTGGTCCTGGATGGCCATCTCTTCATCGCCCAAAACCAGCGAGCTGCCCTTTCTGCAAGATACCTGGCGGGCGTGGCTTTGTTTGTGTTTCTCAGACAGCCACGCCCACCCAGCCAACTTCTAAGGAGTTGCCACCAAGACTCCAATTTGAGCAGCCCTCCTGATGCATCCACTGCTTGCTTGCGAAGGTCACTCAAAGTCACTGATGGGACCTGCGAGATTGTGCGCACTCGCCCGCTTGGTTTTTCTTGGTTTTACAGAGAGAACATTTCTAGATCTGATAATCAGCACTCAATGACAACTAACGTTGCTTCGAAGAGCATGGTTTGAGGGTGAGTGGAATTGGGATGGAGATGGGAGCTACACACAACAGGGCCAAGTGTATCGGGTTTGGACGTGTCAAAATGGATTCAAACCATCAACCTTCTCATCCAGCCTATCAAAACCTTCCCTCAAACCCTGCCTTGTCCACGTACCATTCTGTTCCAAAATCTGTGCAGTACCCAATCACGTTACCCAAGTATCTTTGCAGCAAGGCAGGATCGCCGCAACAATCACAGTTGATGGAATAGACCAACGACTCAAACTTCCCTGCTACATCTGAACAACCGCTTCCTAAGACTGACAATGGAAGGACATTTGTGCGAAGGGTATTGGCGATATTCCACGCTGCAAGATCCTCTTCAGAACAAGTCATGCAACCTGCCGCGTCATCATGAAGGACCATGTCCTCCACGGTCATCAGGTAGTCCGACCCTCCCTGTGGGGACGAGTCCGTGGAAAGGTAAATGAACGCCCTTCCAGATTTTTTGAACTGCTCCCTCCGGATTCGCATCAACAAAAGATCCAGACGGATTTTGGTGCGACTGATTGTAGTCGGTGAAGGGATCTCAAGCTTTTTGTCTTGAATTTGTTGTTGTATTTTCCTAACTCTGCAACACCATTGCCCAAATACAACGGACTAGTGTCTAGTGAGTCTAGTGACTAGTGTGAGGGACAAATGACCCACCCCCCCCCCCCCCGCCCCCAAACTGAACATAGCGGAGGGAAAGCGGCAGATGTTTAGTATGGAAACGAACCCTACAACCTACAACTTAAAGTCAACTAAAGTGCTTGCTTCAGCTTGACATCAGAGTTGCTGAGCTTCCTCTGTCCCATACACAAAGGAAATGCATCTTGCAATGACCTGACGGTGGGCCAAGATCAAGACCAATGCTACAACATCAGAGAACGGGTGATTATATTATAGTATTCTAAGATGCTCGTGTTGAGGCGTGTCCTACAATTACACCATCACACCACAGGCACTCACAAGCACCGCACTACTGATTAGCGGAGCTGCCTCGGGCAAGTACTTCGCGCTTTTCAGCAGGCGGGCTGCCAGCAAGCTCTCCAACAATTTGGCCAGCCCATAGGTCACAGGTCTTCCGCCCATGGCCCTTTCTTACCATTTGAAAATCGTCACTCATAGGACACACAAACCTGTGGTGGTGGACCAATTCTGGTGGTGGACCAGTGGATACTGTTCTGTTGACTATGCACAGAGAGTGTCATCTACTTTTTTCAGGCCTCAGCGCGTTGGTGAACATCAGTGTGTCAGTGAGTATTGACACCTTCTTTGAGCAACTAACGCAGCCCGACACGCGCTTCTCTTCCCGTGTGAAAACAGGTTTCTTTAGAGATTACCTGACCTGGTCACCTGGTTATGGTTTTCTATGAGCCACATATTGGCTTTGTGGAACCACACATTGGCCCCGAAGAAAGACCACGAAAGACCACGTAGTCTTCACAGTGATTCTGAGCTGAGTCAACAATAGTCAACATACACAAATACCAATCATAACAAGCTTGTATATGTATGCACGCATTAGCGCCTGCAGAAGTGTTTTTAACGTGTGGCAACTCCAAATTGTAACCGACATTGGTGTTCACAATTGGCTGAAACACTTATTTGTGCGCTAATGTTTTGAACTGGCTTAGCGCAGCCATTACGAAAGTTCACAGTGCGAAAAGTGGCCAATCACTCTTTGTGAATGTATGTGCAATTGGCTGGCTGTGCATGTGTGTGAATATGTGTGTGTGCTGGCATGTTTAAATTGCGTGAGGTTGAAAAATCAAACCTCTGACTTTTGAGCCAAAAAGTTCAAACAAAACTTACTTAGGATGTTCAATTCCTGTGAGCACCAGAATTCGAAAAGGTGCATTTTTCTGGAGCAAACAAACAATCAGCCTATCAGGCTTGGCACTTTGGCCATTCAAAGGTTGACAGCCTTTTGCAGGCTTCATGCAGCCTTCTCAGGCTTACCTTTGCTTTACATTTTTTGCAGGCATCCCTTTGCTGCCTATAGCCTTTGGCAGGCTTCATCAAAACATTTGCCAAAAGTGCACAGGATTCTCAGCCTTTTCAGGCTTTAAGCAACCCAATTTTGCATTTCACCAAGCTTTCTTTTGTCCAGCCTTCTTCACAGGCTTTTTCAATGAGCTGATCCATTATTTCGTCTTGCTGCTTCCCTTTGGGAAGCTCCACATTCACCAGGCAATACTTTTTGCCAGCCATGTCTGGCTTTGCTTGGGTGTAAGCTTTTTTGGCAGCCCTTGTTTCATGGACAAGTCCAAAGCTTTTGGAAGGAAGCCGAGCTTTGCCCCTAGCCTTTGCAGGCTTTTTGTCAGCCTTGTCCCTTTGCTCTTCCTCAGCCTTTTCAGGCTCTGCCCCAGCCTCTTCTTCACCCTGTTCTAGTCTTTCTTCAGCCTTTGCAGGCTTTTTCTTTACCTTTGCCTTGCTGGCTGCTGGCCTCTTCAAAACAGTTTTGGCAGCAGGTTTTTTGGAAGCACCAGCCTTTGCAGGCTTCTTTAGAATTTCTTTTTCTTTTTCGAATTTTTTCAACTTCTGACAGCTCTGATGCATGAACAATGCCAGAGCTTGAGACAGACACAATCTCTGACTCATTGCTTTGCTCAGGCTCACTGTCCCAAAGGAATTTGACAGCCTTCACAGGCTTGCTTTCTGAAGCCTTTGCAGGCTGGCTTTCCTCTTTGCTTGGACCAGGTGATTGCTTCCCCCTCATCCTTTTTGTTGCAGGCTTACTGGTGCTGCTGCTAGCACTCCCAGCCTTTTGCAGGCTTTGCTCTTCTTGTTTGAAAATCACTTGGAAAAGTGTTTTCAGCACAGGGTCGGTTTTCTCACCAGTTTTCATATTATTTTTTTCTTTTTGGGCCAAGCTTTGTATTCATGCAAACTGTTTACAATTTGCTTGACTTCAGAACCTGTCAGCTTTGGACAAGCATCCTTGAAAGCTAGCCTTTCTTCAGGCTTCTTGTTGCTGCTGGCTCCAAACCACAGGGTCAAGAAAGTGACCAGCCTCTTGCAGGCTTGGTATACATCTGTTGGAAAATCAGCCACAGTGCAATGTGGTATTGATCCTTTGATCAAAACGGATAAGGCTTTCACCTGGTCATTTGCTTCAGGTAAGATGATATTGGAGGCCATGGCAATATGAAAACCAATTGCTAGCAGTGAAAAGAAGTGCTTTTTTTGTCTTCTAGTGCAAAACCTTGCCTAGTTCTAGAAGTAAAAAATTGACTTATGCAGAAGTTGTTTTTTGTCTTCTGAAAAGCTTGCTAGAAGACAAAGTTTTTGACTTCTACATGTGACATCTCTCAGAAGACACTTTTGGAGCCAGAAGATTTAAAAAAAACTGTCTGGCAGACAAGTTTGCACCATTGCAAGAAGTCAAAAAACCTGGCCGCCAGTCAAAAAAACTGTCTGGCAGACATAAATCTTGACTTCCCAAATTGACTTCTGGGAGCTCAGAATCAAAAATTTTGTCTGCCAGCCAGGATTTTTGTCTTCTCGGAAGCTTAGGGATCACTCAGCGTCTTGGTGATCTGCTTCGAGATCCAGAGCCCGCTCTGAAGTCGCTGCTTGGGGAGGGCATACTCACACCGGAAGCGGCCGCAGCATCGAATGGAGCTTCAGAGCCACTGGCGTCTGTCGTGCTGTCGAGCAATCGAACCCAGGCACGTTCGAATTGCTCCATCGCCTCCAGCTCGAGTTGCAAGGCCTGTCTACGCAAAGCGGCGACCTGCTTCATCTGCCATGCCAACCGGTGCAGCTGACACTGCAGATATTCCAGCGTTGGCGGGCGCTCTGCGACGGGCATGTCGAGCGATGCAACACGGAATGGGGTTCGGTTAGCGAAACTTGGACCAATGAAAAAGGATGGCATGCATCAACGAACTCACAAGTGACGAATGTGACCGTTGGAACTTGCATAGCATAAAACTGGATGTGAATCAATGAAAGCTGCAAGACACAATGTAAAGTGCAAAGCAACAAAACAGGCGAGTCGGTGAGCATGCAATCGGTTTTGCTGCGGCTGGAACGAAGATTTATAGATCCTCGGGTGGACCAATGATCCTCTGTTGGATCCGAAATGGCACAAAATCACCTGCAGATACCAGGGGTGGCTCGTAAAAACAATCAACTCAGGCCAAAGCCTCGTGGTCAAGGACCTGACAGCTACAGCTGTACTTGGATGGGTTTTGCTCTTGTAGGGTTTATATATCCAGTTACAATTTATTGAAGTTAATTTGCAATTTGGTTAAGAAAGTTTATAAACTGTGAAATTGAAACACAAAAAGTTATAACTGGACACACACTTAGAACTATTTAGCAAATATTTAGAGTAATTAGAAGTCAACTTATAAGTTCACGGTGTAAACTTGTAGCAAAACTTATATCTAAGTAGCAAGTACTTATAAGTTGCTAAGTTCGGCGCGTTGGTTTTTCTATGTCGCTCCATTTCCTGATCGCCGTTGACATTTTGGTTCCTGGTTTCGGGTGGCTCGGCCCCTATTTTTGCATCTGCGTGGCTCGCCCGCAGGGAGACTTTCAAAGAACGATTTGAAAGAGTGTGTAGCCATCAGAGGCTCGCCCTGATGAGCTATGCGCGTGAGGGCGATGCGCACGTGGGCCCGATCCCCCTGCCGGGGAACCAGGGCACACTCACGAGCGCAGACCGGAACAAGATCTGGCACGAAACTGGGGTGAGCGCCACCGTACGGTGGCGTCAACAATGGCAAGCCCGATGTCTATCACTGGCTGGGCCAGCGAGCAAGCTGACACGGGCAAAGGAAATGGCAGATGCTGCAATCCTTGCCAATGGAGTTGAAGGAGGCAGAGCACAAGCTCGGGAAGATGCATTGCAGAACCAGGTGAACCAAATGGCTGCCACCACTACGACCATGTGGCAACAGTTGCAGCTCTTGACAGGCAGAGTTGCTCAGCTTGAAGGGCAACTTCTCGCTGCCTGCAATGCCATGCAAAAGCGGCGAAAGCAAGAGCCTGCGCCAGGAATGACAAAGGCAAACCGCAGGAAGATGGAAGCAACTCCGTCCTCCTCACCGAGCAGCAGCACGGAGGACAACAAGGACGCCAAGCCTTCCACTTCCAAGGAGAAGCCTGAGAGGGTCAATCTGAGAAAGCCTGAGAGGGTCAATCAAGAGCCTCAGCGAGACGAGCAGGAGTGCAGCCCAACAGAAATAACAGATGCAGGAGCAGCATTGTGCAGCAGTCCAAGTGGAGAGGCACCGACACTCATCCCTGTGGACGACGAGGCGAAGAGCGAGGATGAGAAGGTCCCCAACGCGCTGCCTCTCAAATCTGTCAAGGAGGAGCCTTGCTTGGATGACTGAAATGCCTGGGGCGATCGCTGATGAGAAAAAACTGAATCATTTGTGAGCTGTTACATGATTTGATTGCAGAATATTGGACATTACAAAACACTACATTCATTGAAAACATTGGACATTGTTATAATATATATATATATGTGTGGTTTTCAAATTATGGAAATTTGTGTCCAAACCTTCATTGATGGAATTTGTGTCCCATTGTCACCTTCGATTGCCTGCGGCCATTTCCGATCTCCAAACAAGCAAGATTTCTTAGCAAAGGCTCGCCTTGCTACAAACTACAAAAGGCTCGCCTCCATATAGAACATGGTTGCGACGCGTCCCTTTGCCAAAAAACCGGCGTCCACCCTCAGACTCCCTCAAAGTTGTTCCTTTCAAGACTATGTTGCATTGCTGGGTAATGATGGTTGCGATGCAAGCCACCAAGCAAAAAAGATTCGAATTGAAATGAAGGAACCGTTGTTGGCGCAGGGGCCTTGTGGTGCAATCATGAGGTCCATGAAAGTTCAGGTGAGGGATGATGCCATTGATTGGTATTTTCTGCATCCTGCTTCTTTGCTCCACGAGTTGACCAAGCGCTGTTCAAGATTGGGTGATTTGGTGCAGGGTGGAGGCAAAGCTCGCATTCGCATATACATGGATGAAATAAAACCTGGAAACGTCTTGCGTCCTGATCACTCCAGAAGTGTTGCAATGTGGTACTGGACCCTGATGGGACTCCCCAGCTGGTACCGATCCAAAACAGATGGATGGTTCTATTTTGCAGCGTTTCCAACAAAATTAGTGAAGGATGTGGAGGGTGGCTATAGCTACCTGTTCGCACGGATGATGGAATGCTTTTTGGAATTGCAAGATCCATTCAACTTTACCACCGGCTTCCCGTGCTCTTCCACGTCTGGCATGTTTCTATGCCAAGGGGGCTTGGAGGCAGTTCTCAGTGATGAGAAAGCACTTAGTCAATTGTGGTGCCTAAGAGGCGCAGCGGGAACAAAACCATGCTGCCTTTGCCAGAACGTCGTCGGCCACATGAAGCGAGAGAATGTGGCTGGGCACACATGGCTTGTGCACTATGCATGCTCTGACGGGTCGAGGTTTGCAAAGCATAGCTCAACTTCATTTCAGCATATGAGGGATGGATTGGAAGCGCTGTCTGGGAACAGAAAAGAGTGCGACAAAATGGGGCAGCTTTACGGCCTGGTGTACAAGAAAGCTGGGATTCTTTGGCATCCCAGCTTGAAACATTATGTTGATCCAACCAGTCAAACGTTTTTTGACTGGATGCACATTTTGCTTGCTAGCGGGGGACTTGGTCAGTACGAGATGAACGAATATCTGAAAGTCCTTCAGTTGAACAACGTTGGCCTGGACCAGTTGGACTCTTTTCAACAAGGTGTGTGCATTCCGAAGGCCCTTACCAAGCTTCCCAAGTGTTTCTTTGCAGAACGCATTTGCAAAGACGATGACACGCACCTACGGTGCTTTGCAGGTGAGCTGTTGACGGCCATACCTGCCATGACCTTGTTCAACAGTCTGGTTTTGGAACCTTTGGGAATTTTGAGGGACCACCGGCTTTGTTTCCAGCAGTTGGCAACCATTATTGACATCTTGAGCAAGGGCAAGGGAGCATTGCAGTTCCTTCCTCAGTTGAAGCGCGCAATTTCAACCCACAATGAGATGTTTTGCAAGCTGTACCCAAATTGCGCGAAGCCAAAGTTCCATTGGCTCTTTCATATACCAGAAAACCTAGAGCAGTTTCAAGTTAACATGAGCTGCTTCTGTCCTGAGCGCAAGCATCAAGCAGTCAAGGCAGTAGCAAGCCATGTGCACAATTTCACCAGTTTGATGCACCATATCTCAATGAGGATCGGTTGGGACACCTTACAAGCGTTTGACAAAGGTGACTGCAACATGTGTAAACATACCCATTTGGATGGGTCAGTGCGTCACATTGCGCAGGGTGCTGAAATGCTGTCTTTTTGGAGTGTTGAAGTTGTGTGCGTCAAGACTGCAAGAAGATTGGTGACACAAACTGGGAGGGTATCTTTGGGGGATGTGGTGTTTGCCCCCCAAAGGCAACAACTCTTTGTCCCACTTGCTTTTGTGGAAGTCACCTTGATGTCAGGGGAGTGCACCTTCATGGTTCAAGCAAACTTCCACGATCATAAGGAAGGGGCGCTGTTTGAAGGATCTTCTATGGAAACTTTGCTGATGTGGGAGTCTGATTTTAGATCAGTACACTACATTGTGAGGTCTTCCGGGCTATTGCACGCATGCTTGCACAATGAGGATGTCCTGGCAATGTCCCAGACTAAAGCTTGCCGCAAATTGATCCGACCGGCGTGAAGAAGGGAAACATTGCTGATATGGTTTGAGAGGGTGGAATGAGTTCATTGAGATCTCACAGCACTTAGGGTTCTGAGCTGATATTGTGATATATTATATTGTAAGTATCAAGTGAATGAACGCGTCTATAAGAAAACGACACGACAACAACGCTGCTATGGCATCAAAAGTTTTTGTGCATGTAGCATTTCTAGGCTTGGCAGTGATTAGAAGGCTCGCCTCTTTCAGCGATTGGACGGCTCGCCCTTTTCATTGATCGACATGGTTGAAACCCCTTCTCAGGTGGATGTCAAAAGCGACAGTCAGTTCGATGGTGGGGATGCTTCAATGTGCACAGCTGATGAAATGTTATCAGATCACTGCTGCACTTGCAAGAAACGCGTTGACCCGGAGAACAGTTTAGTCATTGTCAGAGCATCGGTTAAGACTCCAGAGGCTCGCAGGTGCCGCAGTTGCCACAATGTGCGTGGTGCCATCCAGCGGTTGGCAAACCGTCACGGCAATCTTGTGAAAGAATTCACGTCTGTTTCAGGTGACCGCTTGCAAGAGTTCTACAGCAATTTCTCTAACCTCAGGGGTGAAGACCTTCGCATGAAGATTGAAGAAACGGTCACCGACTGGAAAACAGCAACGACAACATACAAGTTCACACAGGACGCTGAGTTTATGGACGAGATTGAAGTGAGAAAGAAGTATGTTGATCGGCCAAACGTGGCTGAAAACATACTCCTGAATGGAAGACGCTTCTTTTGCCCAGTGAAAAAGGTCATGCTGTTTGCCGATCCCAAGTACAATGCGAAGGTTGAAGACACTGAGGAACTTGGCACCAGCACCAAACGCAAAGCACAAACAGCCCTCAAGGAAGATGAAGAACCAAAAAAGCCGCCCAGAAAACCAAGAAAGGGACAGGAGGATAAGAACACAGAAGGTGAAGAGCCCAAGTTGAAAGCAGGAGAGAAGAAGAAGCTGTTGAAGAAGCTGGAGATGGCAAATGCCAAGGATACTTTGCTGAAAGATGCGGTTGAGAGAAGCGTCAAGTTTGGAGACATGATACCCTCATACGTGGTCTCAGCTGCGCAGGCCTGCCAGCAGCCAGATGTTTTCAAGACTGTCAAGCACAGTGTGGACACTGGAAAAGGCAATGCCAGTCACTTGCTGACCTTATTGGACGAGGCAGTGGACAAGATCGTGGAGGCAACTTCCCGTCTGAAGGCTCAGCTGGATGCTGCAGAGGCATTCAACAAGTGAGGGCAAAAGTGCCGAGGCTCGCCCGGCAATAATTTTGATGGGATGATGGAAGAGATCATTTTGGCACATTGCGTTCTTAAATGCATTAGGTGCTCACAAGTGAAATTTCAATGGGGGCCGATGATATACCGGCTAAAATTGTGATGCAACTCAGCGCTGCATGGGGAAATGAACGTGCATCAAGTGCGTTGATTGCAATAAGCCAAAGGTGTATTGAACTTGTTTGCAAATGTGGCTTTGCAGATCATGACGAATCACATTGATAATGCTATAAACAAATGTCAAATCAATAACAACCACACACACACGCACAAAAAACATATTGCAAAAAAATAAAATCATTCAGGAAATCATCCAATCATTTGCTTTCATACAACATCAAAAACTGGCCATGTCAGGGCCGTGTCAGGGCCGTGTCAGGGGCATGTCAGGGACCCCCCCCTCCCCCGCCACCCCACGACCCTCCCATCACAGGCCCCTGACATGGCCACTGTTTCCAATTGAAAATAGTACACACATGAAATTTAACACACTGTCAGTCATCAGAATACCAAATTTTGCAATGTGCATGAAATGTGTTTGGATCAAACGCAATCATATCATACACTGTACACTGCATGTGACGGATGATTGAATCATCTCACTATCTCAAAACAGTTTTGGGGTCGACCAATCAGTTGAACACGAAACGAGCAACATTATAATTACATTGGGCAGGCTTGCTGATTTATATATGGTTGCGCGATGTTGGCTTCAGGGAAAGTGCAAGGAATCAGCCTGCACAAAACAAATTGGAAGGCTCGACCTCCAAGGTCAGATCCCATGACTGATTCGAGTGGCAATGTGTCCAAAACTACGAAGAGGAAACGTGAAGACCCTGAGGCCCTGCTGAGAAAGAGAACACTTATATTGGGGGAAGAGGAATCATCATCATCATCATCAGCTGAGGAGACCGCTACAGACACCAACAAGGATGTCAATGAAAACAAACCCAAAGCAGGAAAGGTTGATCTTGACGCCATGTTCCCTGGGTGGTGGGAAGACGATCAACATTTGTATACATGTCGGTGTGATTTCTGCAAGGTCTACCATGGACTAACAGACGAATCAGATGAGGACGAACCCATTGCGCCAACATCAACAGCAGACGCATCAACTGCTTCAAACAGTGTTGTTGTGATTGATGTGGATGCGGTCACATGTCCACAGAGTCCTGTGGCTGCTTGATTGCATTGCAGTGAGAACACTGCCTTTGAATGATTTACTGCGCTATTAATTAGCTGGTTGCAGATTGCGTTTTTCAATGCATTTGCGGCTCAGTAACAACTTGAACGATCAGCAATGGGGTTTGCAAAAAAATACTCTCTTTGATTGTCATTGATTGATACTCTCATCATTCAAAATTGTGTCATCAAGTACTGAGTTGCGTTTAACTTGGCTTATGCGTGTGGTTGATTTCTGCTCAAGGGAAACAGCTATCCAGAAGACTTTGGGAGGCTCGCCCCCCGCAAATACAGCCTTGGAGGATGGCCCCAAAACAATCGAAATTTCCAAGGCCAAATGATTGGAGTAAGGTGGTCCCAAAGCTTGGCAAATGGTCACGGAAGCTTCATGTGAGCTTTCCATGTGTCGGCATCGACGGTGCTGGACTTGCATTGAAGTGCTTGCAGGTGCCTTTTTGTGCAAACAATGTCTATGACCTGGAGGGTCGATACCAGCAACACCTGGAGAAACACCTTCCAGATTGCGACCTCCATTTGGGCAGCATTGATGGCGATATATGCCAAGCTGATCTTGGCAGCATCGAACGACCGGTGGACCTACTAATCTCTGGTCCACCCTGCCCACCTTGGGCAGGGAACGGATGTCACAAGGGCCAAGAAGATAGCAGGGCCGATGTGTTCCTAAGTGTCATGAAAATGGTGCTGGTCCTCATCAAATCAGGTGATTTGAAAGCCTGCGTTTTGGAGAACGTCAAAGATGAGTGTCCAGAGTTCGACTGGGGAGTTGTTAGCCTCAAGGCTGAACAATACATGCTTGCACAGCAAAGGACCAGAGTCTTCCTCAGAGGCTTGCGGAGAACAGTTGGAAAAGGAACGGTGCCAGAACCCCTGGACCCATTTGGAAAGAAGCCTTTGGTTGATTTCCTAGATCCCAAGTTGCCATCCGTGGACAAATCCACGTTGACGGATGTTATGCGCCAGAATCTGATCGATGCTATGGCAGCAATCAACAAAATGATGAAAAAGGGAGACGCGGTTTCCAGCGACATCATTGTGTTTCCATTGGACAGAGCGGAAGGAAAGGTCTATGTTCGCAGGTTCTCCAAGAACATCGTGCCGACGTTGACGACAACGAACAAGTATTTGTTTCTTGCTTCGCTTGACCTTGAGATGCCAGAGAAAGACCGCAAGTTTTTCCGCTTTTTGTCATCGACAGAACGCATGCTGCTGCAGTGGTTCGATGCAGACACGCTGTATGACTGCAGCGATGCGCTGAGGATCAAAGGGGCTGGGAACGCATATCCGGTACCACTCATCATTGCTGTTGTGGCTCCACTATTGATGGAGATTAGACCAAATCTGGGCACCGTGCCCCGATCCTCCACTTCGCTGGGCGCCCAAGATTGTTCTAAGTTTGATGAGTTCATGGAGGCGTGCAAAGCTGATTCCATGCGGGCACTGGCACGAGGCATTGCAAAAAAGAGGCCTGCAGCAGTCAAAACACAGGCCAAAAACAAAACAAAAGCAGCCAGCAAAGCGAGAGCCAAAGCAAAAACGAAAGCAGCAAGTGCCAAGCGAAAGGCCCGAAATCCAAAAGCAAAGGGAACCACAAAGGGTGGGACAAAGAGATCCATCGGGCACCGTTCGAAGAATCGATACCGTTGGATTGGATCGTCATCCTCTTGATCATGGCAGCGGCGTGGGCATTGCTAGCTGAGTCTTCGCCAAAAGGATGGCGTGCTGAAAACATGTTTGTTTCTTGTGCGGGTATTTTGATCATTGTTTAGCTCATGTGATGGGGTGGGGTCTTCTGAATTCAGATCTGTGTATGGAGTCATTCTTTCGACATTGTAGTCTTTGGTTTGAGCGAAATCTATTGCAATATTAAACAGTTTGATACCGCAGGATATAGTATGCAAATGCTTCTGTCGATGCTGCTGCCATTTCCCAATGTTCAATGAACAGGTGGCTAAAGTGAAGGCTCGCCTCATTTCCCAGGGAAACGCACGACGCATGGCGTCCAAAAGGTTGAAAGACTTGCTTTCCTTTCTGTCAAGCCTAAGTGGTTTGAAGGATGCCCCGCGGTCAATGGAGCAACAACAGCGCCTGGTGGAAGGCTGCCTCCAAGACTTTGTGACGGGGCCCAAAATCGAGATGACAGAAGGGACAGAGATGGTGAACTGGGTCACTGCTGCTTCAATCCCAGATTGGATGAGGGAGCAGGTCTTGCGGGCAGTGCAGGACAAGGTTCTGGCCGACCAGACCAATCAGAAGGAACCTGCTAAAGGAAAAAGACAACCTTTGCAAAGGAACTTGCACCTGTTCCACTACTTCACAGAGGAGGAATGGGGAGTGATGAGAAGTGAAACCCAAGGCTTGAACGCAAAGCTCCAAATCTTGAAGAACAGGTGTCAGTTCATTGGGCTCACATGTCCTACAGAACCCACATATGTACTTGCCAACGTCATTCTTCATTTGGCTGCCCACAATGGGCCCCCAGAAACTTTTCAGATTGATACAAGGAAGGCATTTAGGGTCCTCAGGGATGTCAAAACGGTCATCAAGTCAGGCAGCAAAAAGGGGCAGCATTCAGGCTTGGAAGTTTATCCGAGCGACCCAAAAGGTTTGCCTGATGCCATCAAACAAACTGCGTATTGCAATGCGCAACCTGTGGCGTGCCCTTTGGACATTGATACTATAGAATCTTTAGCGATGTCTTTTCCATGCAGGGAGACGCATGGTGATGTTCGACGAGCGGGGCATTCTGGTGTTTCATTGCGTTCCTCACACCGTGATGATGGTTTGCGGGATATCCTTTGCAATGCGCTTTTGGACAGGTTTATGGGTGGGTCTGGAGGAAGCCAGCCAGAAGCCCTAACCATTTTTGGAAATGGACAATCTTTCAAAAAGAGAGGCAAGCAACCTTTGGCTTTGGAAGATGGTTTTGTTGATGGTCCTGAGGACAAAAAGTGCAAAACAACAGTGTCTCCTGAAGTCACTGAAGTCATTCCTGAAGATGGTTTGCCAAAGGCGGTTGAGGTGGAGATGGAATTGCACTGTGAAACGAATGGATCAGAAAAACCAAAACCCAGATCAGTTGATGACATGGCACTTGCCATTCGTGAGCAGTTGGACATGAACAAAGCTGGGGACAAGAGCAAAACGTCCAAACCCAAAGCGAAAGCCAAAGCCAAAGCCAAGACCAAACCAGTTCAAACCAAGAGCGCTGGCAGTGCACAAACAGTCAAAACTCTGAGTTCTATGAAGTTCCCTGGGACAAAGGCAGCGAAACCCTATCACTTGGAGGAGGCCACAATTTACACGTGTCCCAACAGCCAAAGTTGGCGCGTCAAGAAAACAGGGGACAAGAAAGATCGAGCTTTTTCTTGGAAGAAGGAGGATCCCAAAAGTACATGGAAACGAGTGGTGGGGTACCTCGAGGAGATTGCAAATTGATTTGCAGTGGCTCGCCCTGCTGTGTGTTTAGCTGGAAATTGTAGGGGCAAAGTCCAGATGTGCACACGCAACAGGAGATGATGTGAAAAAAATGTGCGTTGATTCGGTTGATTCTTCATGCTTTTATGAAAACCAGTACAACCACGGTGCGTGCACAAAATTCACCAAGCATAGCGCAACCATCAGCATGTTTTACTTTAAGTTCTTGCATATCGTATTATTTTTTCAATGCTAATATGGGAAGTGTGCATGAATCCACTTTTCCGTTAACACCACGCATCCAAAAATGGATTGCAGCGACTATAGGAGAATCACGCCCCG